TTGGAAAGCATCACATTGGCTCTTGGAAAGCACATATTTAACTCAGAGAACAAAAGCACAGAGGTGTCCTAGAGAGTAGCCAACCAGCCATCCAGTGAGCCTACTCTGGACTGAAGTCAGCATTTTTCAGAATCTTCTAAGGCAGCAAGTTGGGTAAGGGAGTAAGTAGTCTCTCTACTAGTGATGTGGAATATCTTTTCATATGGTATTGCCCAATATCCACTACTGTGAACCATCTGTTCATTTCATTTACCTATTTTTCTAGTGGATTATCTTTTTCTTAATTATTTACAAGTGTTCTTTACTTAATTTTGATCTAATGAAATAAACTATTTTTCTTTCTTCATAGCTTTTACTTTCTATGTTTTAAGAAAGCCCCCTATTCTAAACATATACTCCTATGTTCTCTTCTAATACTTCAATAATTTCATAACTCCCAGATTCCAGATGAGGAACTTGAAGTTCAGAAGACTCAGATATTTGACCAAAATTCTAAAGCTAGAAATAAGCTAAGATCCATATTGATATATGTTTATACATAATCTCCAAAGCCAATTTCTACTTTATACTACCTTCCTGAAGAAGGAATTAAAACCTGAGAGAACTAAAGTGAAATACATGGGTGCTCAACAATGGTGAAAATTTCATGAATGCACATCTTTGTACTGATTACATAAATGACTGAGAAATAAATGATTCATCATCAGCTACAGAAAACTTGCATGATCTCTGCCATCCATAGAAAATGTGGTCAAAGTGCCCGAGTGACCTGGAAATCTAAATACTATTGAGCAACTACTAGGTACAAACTAATAGTTGGACCTAGAGGTCCAATGCCTCTTATTCATGTATTCCTCCATCCACTGAAGCAAACAAAAACATACTGAACATGTCCCTGGTGACAAGCTCCACACACTCATGGGTGTGGACTTTGCTAGACTCGCTTGCATGGATATTCCGGAAGTCCCTAAATCTTTGCTAGCTCAAAACCAACCTCTACATTTGCAATGTACCTTGAGTTGGGGTCACTGAGGTCACAGGCCTTCTTCTGCTACCAGAAAGTGAGCTCCTTAGGGTGAGATTCACACCGTGTGCCTCTGCACCCCGGAGCACAGAGCTGGTAAGACCCTGGTGGTAGCACGGGCGCTCTGTGACTGCACTTATTATGTGTCCTATGTGTGGAGGCTTCGCTTTCTGCCTTGTGGGCCACATCTGATCTTCCAAGGCTGAGCAAGAATGAGTAATGAGTGACGAAAGAATGAACACTTGGTATTTTCATCAAACACAGTCTTCCTAGTAATTTTATCATTTCCTGGAGGTCACTATCGTTTCCTTGAGGTGGTATTCTCACCACCACTGGTCATCTTTCCAGACGTCACAGTCTTGTTATTATCATTATCTCCTGATTCTTCTGCCTTCTTTTAATGCTGGCAATGAGCTGTCAAATCCTGTTGCTTCTATTACAACCCTGTTAAATCTTTTCTATTCTCCCCGCCACCACCTTGGTTCAGGCACATTATCTCTTGCAAAAACTATTATGAATGATCTCCCACCCAGGCTCCACACACTGATCCATATTATACCTGCTAAAGTCACATAACTTTCCTGAATCATAACCTCATGTGGCCAATCTCTTTCTTCAAACCTTCAAAGGCTCCCATGAATCCACTGAATTATTCTGGATCTCTTCACTGGACATCAAAGCTTTATGTATGACCACATCTACATTTTGATTCTAATTTACCATTGTTCACCTACTGATACCTTCTCCTGCCTCTTCCCACTCCACAGTCAAATAGGATGATGTGCTTTTTATTAAATACATCTTGCATTTTCCATCTCTGTTACTTCCACCTGGGGCATTCTTTCTCATTCTATCCTTTGAGGCCCATTTTAAAGGCCAGCTCTTTCATGAAGTAGGTCCTGATACCACACAGACAAGATAGCTGCCTTCTTTGATATCAGCAGGTCTTTGTGTTGCTCTTTTGGAGTCAGTCTTGTTTTAATTTATCTAACCCTGCTTTATTTATACTGATTTGGTACTTACCTTGTTTATTGCAGTACAAGGTCCTTGTGGTGAGGGTCAGTGGTTTCCCTATTTCTGTGATTGTTTGCAGAGTTTGGTACAGAGCATTGTACACAGAGGCACTCAATAAGCTACTGGTCGACCTGAACATCCCTCTCAACTTTACTGTAATCTCCTTAAGAATAATGACCTTAAGGACACAGTGTCTCTCGATACATGTAAGGGCCTTATGCATAACAGGTACTCAAAACTGAATTCATTTAAGTAATTTCATAGTTTCAGAGTAAGAGATTTCAAAACACACATAACACTAGCATTAACCTAAAATATTCACTAAATCACCTCTCACCTGTCCCAGACACTGCACTCAAAGTTTTATAACAATCATCTTGTGCCAAGAACACCGTGAAGCACTGTCTTTTCCCTCAATGGATGGGCAGAGATTTACAGAAGTGAAGTGACTGGATTCTGCAACAAGTCAGTGGCAGAGCTGAAATCTGAACCCAAGCAATTTCTGCCTCTAGAGCCCACGGTTGTCACCATCATGCCATATGCCTTGGTTATGTTTGCCAACTCCCCTTAGTTTCAACAGTTTGGGTAAACAAAAAATCTTAAAAAAAAATACTTCAAGCTACATCTTAAAATCATTCTTTGAAACATAAGAACATCTTGACTCTCAGATTATTTTACTGGGTGTAAAAATAAAGAATTGCTAAGTCTTTCTTTTCTACTTTCCCATGTAAGCTTCAGATTTAGGAGGCTACTTGTTTTCTCAAATGATACGCATGGTTTGTACTTAATTATGCATCCCCCAACATGGAGGTGATAAGGGTAACATACCTCCAGATAACTGAAAATCATTTAATTTTGTGAAGCAGTCTAGAAATCTCAGAATTAAACACAACCATTTAGTTCCCCATTTCCTTCTAAATCTTTAGATACTTGAAAACTCCTCTTATTGGCCTGGACTCTGATTGAAGGGCAGAGTAAAAAGGTGTGGAGTTGACATAGATAATCCATGAATGAATAAGACCAGAGATTTCTCTTTGTCTGAACCTCCCCATTCAGTCTGCATGAAAAGCACCAACACCAACTTTGGCCACAGTGCTGAAAAAGAATACTAGCCTCAAGGAGTCTATAGATTATGGAACTGGGAGAAAAAGGAAGAAAGTTATATTGGCCCTAACAACACTGAGGAAGAACTCACAAGCTGTAAGATAAAAGTCATTGCTTTCTTTAGGATTTCAGAGATACAAACACGGAAAGTAGGCAGTTACATCTAAGAAACAGCTATTGGCTAACTGGTCACCAGTGTCTCTTTAGCATTCAATGGAAATACTATTACTCAAGATGAGATTTATAACTTAAGATGAAATTATATCAAGCAAGGACAAACTCTGATTTTCAGTAAAACGGAGTAGAAAAATGACCACTGATGCGTCAACTACTCAAATATTCTATGTATCTATTCAAAGCACAATAATTTCTATATAAAAATCCTGATAATATTAATTTTACTGTTCAGTCATAGTTACTTTTTTCTGGATTTAAGTTCAGTTCAGTTCAGCTCAGTCGCTCAGTCACGTCCGACTCTTTGCGACCTCATGAACCACAGCAGGCCATGCCTCCCTGTGCATCACCAACTGCCGGAGTCCACCCAAACCCATGTGCATTGAGTCAGTGATGCCAGCCAACCATCTCATCCTCTGTTGTCCCTTTCTCCTCCTGCCCTCAATCTTTTCCAGCATCAGGGTCTTTTCAAATGAGTCAGCTCTTTGTATCAGGTGTCCAAAGTATTGGAGTTTCAGCTTGAACACCAGTCCTTCCAATGAAGGACTTCAATGAACACCCAGGACTGATTTAAGTGTTGATGCTAAAACATAAGGTATGATGAACCTCTGTGACTTAAAGGATACCTTAAAATCCAAATCCCATTTATGAAGTAAAATTTTATTAAAGTATTTTGGCTCCTTTAAAATGATCTAAAATATTCAGTTGTTGATACTTGAGTACTGCAAGTCATAGGTTATACATTCAGAAAAGAATAGAGGAAAAAGAATGAGCCTGTTACGTTCATTAGTGTATCATGGAAAATGACAGCCTTAAATACTCATGAGCACTGGTTAACATTCTGCCAACTCCCTCTGCTGTAGCAGAAATCATAAAAACAAAGCACAACACGGAAAGGAGTTTAAGTCAAGTGAAAATATTTATGACATTGCAAGCTTCTTAAAAATGTATTCACTGAAATATGAAAAAATAGCAGTAATTAATCCCAAAATAAAAGAGAAGAACAATGTTGCTCCAACACAACTGAATAAATGAATATTCTTAACAATCTGTAATCTCTTAAGAAGTCAGCTGATATGATAATTTACTAAACGTTTTTTCAGAGATGAAATATTAAGGTGGAACATGTTGATTGATTTGTTTTAGAGGAAGAGGTTTCTAACTATCTATTTCAGATCATTAGAATTCTCACATTAACTCAAAACCCGAAATACCTTAACACTGTGAATGTGAAGGACTATTTGATAAAGACCTACCTTCTAAGTACCTTATTTTCCTTTGAAAGGCAACTTTCTTAAAACACTACATATCAATAATAACTAAACTTAGCTATTCAATCTGATCTGCATTAAGAGATAAAGGATGAAAAGAAAAAAAAAAAGGTTCTCCCCCCATAAAACTCAATCCTACTTCATGATTTTTCCTTTAAATTTAAGCATTTTGAAACATTAAAAATTTTGCTGTTTCTCCTGGAGAAATCTCTATCAAGATTAAAGAAGGGTTCGTCTGAAAACAAACAGGATACAGGAGTAAATGGTGCAGCTCCAGGCAAGCTATAAATAGCAACGGCATTTTCAAGAAAATCTTGCACTGGTGTGTTAAGTTGCAGTTTAAACATGCAGTGCAGATTTTATTATAAAGTTGTCACCAAAATTCATTGTTATACAAGAAATGCAGTTCTTACCAAGTTTTCTTGGTTCCTGGCTGCTATTTTCTGCTCCTCTTCTGCCCCATTTTTCATGTATTTGACCTCTTCCACCGGTTTGATCCTATACTCATCTGAGTGCCAAAAAAAAGAAAAGACATTTTATAACTTTTTTTATAATGGTAGAAAGTGTCAGCGAGAAAAGCCCAACAGCACAATTTGTTAGAGCCTTTTTCCCTGTGGCTTTTATATATGGTTCATTTGAAACAATCTGGAAGATGCTTAACTAGCCTCTTTTTATGAAGTGCTCTCCTCTGTCCACTGGGAAAAGTTTAGCATCATGAAGGCAGCTAACGAAAGTGCCACTGCCTGGTCCTTTTATAGAGAGCAGATGGTGTCAGTGGAAACAGAGGTTGTTCCATCTCCAAAGACAATTTGGAATCTACACGTAATAGGGCATATCACATAATGATCCAAGGAGATTTTCCTCCATGAGAATATTAGTTCAAAATACCTGTGGCAGCAGTGTTATACAGTACATTCACACTTAAATTTTTCTCTTCTGAAAAAACAAAGTAAAAGCAATGAGCTTGACTGATCAACAAATAAATGTAAACAATTGGAAGTTGAAATTTTCCTACTGATGATTCACATATTAAATGTGCAACAATTTCATATGGTATATACAGACTTTTTCTTAACCTCTCTGTAAAGTCACACATGAGAGGAGCATGGCTCTAACTGGTAGGTGTATCAGTCAAGGCTGGAGAGTAGACCAGGCCATGGACAGGACCTGGACTTTGCAACAGCCAGAGGAAGACCCCAACATCAAAACACAGCAAAGGTCAAACTTGGGAAAACTTGCAATTAAAGTCCTTCTCCAGGATAGAGGTTTGGTGACAACAATGCTGACACTTTCACCAGATTTCTGTCACCAGGAAACGACTTGGGTACACTAAGGTCAAAAACAGGCATGACTTTGAGTCATCTTTAGTATGTGGGGAGAAAAATCACAGACATTATGGAACTAGAAAATTTCATCAACCAATAAAATGATGACTGCCTAGCAAAGGGCATGGAATAATGTATATAACAGACTACCTAATAGATGGATATCTATCACTAGGAAGTTGCAATATAGTTTCTTATTGTCTGCAGTTAATTTGCTACAATGTCTATATTCTTACATAATTTCTTACCTTATTATTTATAATACCATTTCCAAAATAGTTTCAGGCTTCCTCATACTATCCCTCAATATGCTACACCCCAAAGATGTTTGTTATGGTAATATTTCTTTAGTAACTATGCTGTTCTGATGTTTCTCAAAATTATCCTCCTTATGAAAGCATATTTCTGAATCAAGACTCCCTATTCAGAGGCCAATTGTTTTTTCCTTCTGACAATTCAAGGTAGTTATTGATCCTCCTTCTTTCTAAAGAAATTAGAAAGAGTGGTGTAAGTTTACAGTAATGAGTCCTTTAGGAATACCACATCCTTAAGGTATTAACAAGTTAATCAGTGGGTTCTGATCCACAATTACAATGTGTAAGAATTTCACATTTCAATTTGGTATGCAGAAGAGAAGAAAAAATGAAAGTAAATCAATAAAATTGGTGCATTTAATTAGGAATTATTTATTCAGAAGTTGGAAAAGCACTTGTTAACTGAAAAGACACTGACTAATTATGCCTCCACTACAATTATATAGAGATAAAAATAAAAGGAAAAAAATAGCTAAAGAGGGATTCCCCAACTTCAGTTTGGAACATTAATACTTATAAATGATAGTTCACTGGGATAATCACTAACATTTAACTTAACTAAATTATGATGTTAATGACTTACGGTGAGTCTCTGATTACTTAAATTACATACATACATACCTAGTTTTTTAAAACACAGTTCCAGCAGACTCTATGATTTTGTCTAGAGGACACACAACCTCATGTGATAAGATGGGGAAAGCACAACGTTTTAGGTCCTAAGCAGAACCTTCTGAAAGAGCCTTCCAAAAGATGGCCTTTTGCCTGCAGCACAGTAAAAGGTCTCTCCTAGAGCAAACCTGCCCTGGCCTTGCCAGCTGTCCCTTCCTATACCAAGCAATAGCTCATAGCAGACACTCTCTAAACAGGGGAGTGGTATTCAATCTTCATTCTCTTTTTATCCATCCAGGAAACAAAACTGAATTGAAAGTAGTAGACAAACAATATTTTTCTACTTCTTTTCAATGAAGAAAAGCTGCTGGCTACATGACTTTCAAGGCAGCATCATCCCACATACAGACTTTCTATAACATCACCAGTTTAGAAAGAGGATAGGTTTTAGTGTGTTATTAACAAACACGGCTAGCCAATGCCAATTTCATGGAACACACTATGATTGGCTAAAAAAGAAAGAAAAAAACAAACAGCCACGTCTGCAAAGCCAGACCTATCATTATTACTTACACAACACACTGCACAAAATCCATCACAGTGTGAAACAAAAAAGCCAGCAAGGCCCTTAGATAAACCACAGTCTGTACAAAGCCAAGACTTAAAAATGGTCTGTCAAATCTCTCAAAGGCTCATGCTGGGGATGAAGATGCCCATCTGGAAATAGACAACTTGTCAACCAACGTGTCACACATTTCCATGGTAATGCCGCCTTCACGATGACACTCTGGGTGGATGAACAGAGCGTTTCAGGCTATGGCCGTGACATGACCACCACAGAAATCCATTTTTCCTTTTATTAGGGCACAGGGGAATCCGTGGGGGATTTTAGGCCCCCTTCATCAGATCCCACACTGGAGGGAATTAGCAGAGCCACTGTTAACAGCCAGAGAGTCCTGGTGAAAGAACAATGTGCCAACTTGATTAAGAGGAGTGAAAAGCAGACCGTCTTCCTCCGGCTCCCTCACACCTGTTCACAATTTTTCTTTTCTTCTTGTTGATCTTGTCAGGTGGCTTATTAAAATGCACGTCAGGAACAGTAGGCTAACACCCCATTTCAAACCCACTCCCCCTTCTCTCTGTGTAAATAGTTGCAGGCTGTGCCAGTCAAAATATATCTAGGATAGAAGCACTGCTGTGGTGATAGTGTCTTATTCCTCAGATCACACCAGAGAGGGGCAGCTCCATCAAACTAAAGACAACTGTTTCCCACCAAATCTTTGGACCTCACTTTTGACATAAAATGCAAGGAGATCAAATCAATTAATCCTCAAGGAAATCAACCCTGAATATTCATTGGAAGGACTAATGCTGAAGCTGAAGCTCCAGTATTTTGGCCACCTGATGCGAAGAGCTGACTCACTGGAAAAGACCCTAATGCTGGGGAAGACTGAAGGCAGGGGAAGGGGACAACAGAGACGAGATGGTTGGATGGCATCATCAACTCAATGGACATGAATCTGAACAAACTCTGGGAGACAGGGAAGGATGGGGAAGCCTGGGGTGCTGCAGTCCATGGGGTCACAAAGAGTCAGACACAACTTAGCGACTGAACAACAACAAATATACATATAGAACCAAGTTTTTAGAGCTCGAAGGGAATAAAATGGTTTGACTCGGTTTTAGATGGTACGGAATCATCACCACTTTCTAGATCCTATCAATTCTTCCATTGTTAAAAACTCACCGGCCCCTAACTGGTTCTCTCAAGCTTTGCAGACAAAGATGTGCTACAAGGTTACATTTATAATCAAGGGAACTGACTTTAACATGAGGCAATTAGATGGAAGTGAGTGCTGGAGTGAGTTTATAATGCCAAAATCATTAAACAATTAACATTTCTCATAAAAGTACATATTAGGTAAGAAAGAAGAAAGGCGAGAGTTCTAGAAATGCTGCTCCTTGAGGTAAGAGTGGATGTTACAGCTGTTTCCTAGAATGGTGAAATTTGCATCTACTTTCACACCTTCTTACTCCTTCTTCTCAGCAATGACATATGTACCAAAATAAACCACATCTTTTCCAGGACTGTTTCAATTTCAAAAACTCTGTGCTAAAGTCCTCATATCAAAATCTAACATTTGTCTGGGCATCTTCTCTGAATGCTCTGGACTGCTTCTTCATTCAGAATTTGCCTGAAGATTCTCTAGTATACTAATTATTATTATATGCTCAGGAAACCATGAGGACTTAGGAAAAGAGATAAAAGAAATATTTATAAAAATAAACAAACCAATTAAAAGACTAAACTATTCTGCTTTTTAATATAAAATCACTCCCCCTAGGTTTCTCCCACTGAGCATCCTGTCTACCAAACTAAGTTCAAGTAGTGAAATCCTGGCACAACTTCAGATTCTTCCCTAAGATCTTTTTCAAAAAACTTAAAAAAAATAGTTCCTTGTTCCAGCTTACACTTCTTGGTATCTATAGGCCCCTTCCAGTGTAGTCGAAAAACTGGTCAACCACTTGTAAAAGAATGAAACTAGAACACTTTCTAACACCATACACAAAAATAAACTCAAAATGGATTAAAGATCTAAATGTAAGACCAGAAACTATAAAACTCCTAGAGGAGAACATAGGCAAAACACTCTCCGACATAAATCACAGCAGGATCCTCTATGACCCACCTCCCAGAATAGTGGAAATAAAAGCAAAAATAAACAAATGGGGCCTAATTAAACTTAAAAGCTTTTGCACAACAAAGGAAACTATAAGCAAGGTGAAAAGACAGCCTTCAGAATGGGAGAAAATAACAGCAAATGAAGAAACAGACAAAGGATTAATCTCAAAAATATACAAGCAACTCCTGCAGCTCAATTCCAGAGAAATAAATCACCCAATCAAAAAATGGGCCAAAGATCTAAACAGACATTTCTCCAAAGAAGACATACAGATGGCTAACAAACACATGAAAAGATGCTCAACATCACTCATTATCAGAGAAATGCAAATCAAAACCTTAATGAGGTACCATTACATGCCAGTCAGGACATGGAAGCAACCTAGATGACCATCAGCAGACGAATGGATAAGAAAGCTGTGGTACATATACACCATGAAATATTACTCAGCCATTAAAAAGAATACATTTGAATCAGTTCTAATGAGATGGATGAAACTGGAGCCCATTATACAGAGTGAAGTAAGCCAGAAAGATAAATACCAATACAGTATACTAAAACATATATATGGAA